CCTCACGGGCCGCCCCAAAAACCTCGAAAGCCACGCCCCCGCCTCGTCGCCCTCGTCGGCGGCGGCGCCTGTCCACTCCCAAACATTGACGGTCCTGCAGACCATAATGGCGGGGCGAGGGCGCCATGCAGCGCGTCGATGCATGCAGTCCGCAGGGTGCATGCAGCCCGCGCCGGCACGCAGCTGCTGTGGGTGGAACAGGCAGAGACATGTAAAAGCAAGCGCCGTCCCAAAAGTGCACCTTCAAAAACTGAAACTACACACACATGACAAGCACGGGGGCCGCCCCTCAGACCATTGTTGCTGCTCTGATCACGAGATCACATACAGATCTCGCACCTGATCTGTGCTTTCTCAGCAGGGACGAGCGGCACCCTCAGGTCTTTGGCTGCCCCGGGGGCGGACAGCACCAAGGCGTCCCCTGGCGCCGGCGGGGCGCCTGCCAGCACCTCCGGTGGGAGGCTGGGTTGAATCTAGGGGCGTAGGGTGGGGGGGGCAGGGGCGGTGCTCAGGTTCACCGTCTGCTTCAAACGGGATCACGGGAGGGGCGCTGGCGGCGACGCGCGGCCAGCTCGCGCTCTTCCAGGGCCGACGGTGCGCGGCCCGCCGCGAGCACATGGGGAGCGTGCGTGTACGGGCGCTTGCGAGCGCGCACCGTTGCCAGTTTGGGCTCCTGCCGCTGCGTGAGGAATTTGCCGTTCTCTGCGGTCACCACCATCCACTTCCGGTCCCAAGATAAGCCTGGAGCAGATGTGACGATGGCAGCAGTGCGCGGGCACTACGTTCGGCGCAGCGAGCTGGTTGTGACAGGGCAGCATGGCAGTCCAAGCAGTTGCCAGGCGGGGACGAGGATGAAGCGAACGGTGCGGTGGACGTCGCTGCGTGCCGTGCCCCCGCCGCCTGCGCGGCCCACCGGTAGGCGTCGCCATCGCGGCGCCGGCCACGCTGAGAGCGTGGCAACTTTTTACAGGATACACATACACGCCGGTGATGCGCGGCGCCATGCCGGGTTGCTCTGCAGGCTCGCGGAGATCGCGTGACACGCGAAAGGGCAGATGTCCAGATGGTGAGACATGGTTTGAACAACGGAACTTCGAGTTGACGTTCATGTATCTGATAAGATAACTATACCGTACACTCAGATCCGGCTTCGACCAACGCAGCATGTTGCGCCTCATTGATCACTGTCAGCGAGCGGCGGTTACCATACCCGGACCGCACCGCACCAACAAGCCCCAGGCTTGATGTTGCAGGGCAGGCTGCTCAATTGGCAGCATAATCTCAGAGGCCGGGGGGTGGTGACACAACTTTCCTGAAATACTTGACCAGCACACCCCAGGTGCCACCCCGGTAGACCCAGTCTAAGCCACAGGCAGCTAGTGGGACACCACCTCCCCGCCTGCCGGCGCTGGTGTCGCTCCATTCATTCGCAGTACCCTGGATTTGAACCTCAGGTCCCTGCTGCAGCAAAGCCGTTGGCGGCGTTCCCTGGAGTCGGCCAGTGCAGCTTTTATGCTTCGTTGCGCCGCATGATGGTTTGATTGACTGCAAGCCGCATTCACGAGCAGAGCGATTCCGGATAAAGAGTTGTTGGCTCTCCCAAACTGGTATTAGTGAACCGCGCCTGCATCCCCCTCATCGGCCTGATTCAGGTGTGCAGCACTGTGCCCTCACCAGGCTTAGGAGCCTTCCTTTGCGCAAATCACGGTCCGTTCCTGCAAACTTGTCACAACAATATCAGATCGCCAAGGTTGGCTTGCCGTTCACAGCACAGGGCTGGGGAGCACCAGCCCCCGGCGGTTTCAGAGAATAACGTCGCTCGAGATGCAGCAGCTTGGAGGATTGCGGCAGCAGACCACTCACTTGTTGCACTCATCAGGATGCCCGCAAGTTGATGCTGTGACCAGAACACTCACAACTGTGCTGCAGAGGAGTGATTCACCGGCACTGCGATATGTCCACAAGTACGGTAGCATTATTTTGACCTAACTGTCCTGATGTTCGATCATTCATCCGGCTGAATATGTCAGCAAATCCAGTTATGCCCGGCAACGAAAACACATGTGACAAGTACCATTAATCCTGAGGCATACATGTCTCGCAGCAAAACTTCGGATACCGCCAAGGGTTGCCAGTGTGCAACATCCTGCAAGCAACCGCAGCACTGCCACCTCTTGCAGCTGGCACGATCGGCAGTCAGTTGCAAATCCGCAAGGCTCGCGCATTTCTGACAACAGTCATGTCGGTCACGCCCTGACGGATATCGCCAGTGGTGCTCGTGAGCAGTTGCACAATAGTGGGCCCTGCAGACCTTTCAAAGCACAAAAGATCGGTCACAACAAACTCGAAAGTAAAAGGCGCAAATGTTCAGTGGGCATGTCCGCCCCATGTCGATGTTGATACACCTCAGCACCCCCCCACGTGGCTGCTGAACCACCCTTCCAGGACATGGCTGCCCCATGACAACAAATTACTACGCCGTGACAACGAATGGCTGAGCCATGACAACAAATGGCTGCGCCATGAAAACAGGTCAACCCACAAACAATCTTCCTTTGCCACACAACATTATTGCTGCACGGGATCACCGTGTTGTCGCATACCAGTATGGCACACACCATAATGACGTCACCCCACGTCATCGTACATGTCCCCACGTTCACGTGGTCTTTTCGTCGTGGAACAGCTCGTCCACCAGGACAGCGATGGCCACAATGAACGCCGCGTCAACGCCAGGCTCTGGTGTCGTATGTGTACAGAGGGAGGGTGGTTGCAGTTGTACGATATGTCTGGGGAACTTCAGTTGGGTGGCAATACGTTTGCATTTGCTGCGAATGCTCCGATACACCATGGCCAACGAAATACAAATGTTGCCCCGGAAGACGTCCCCAAAACGTACAGGCTCGCAGGCATGAGCAGCAAGCAGGCTTCGGCCATCTTGGCTCCAACCATCCAACACACCACCGCCTGGGCCCCTTTATTTCGGCAGATGTCCACGCACACGCACCTATGTGTATGAAGTAGTTGTCCGCCGCGGTCATCGCCGACGTCAGGAACGCCGTGACCGAGGAAAACTTGGACTCCTTCTTCACCTCTGCTATGGGCCGCTCCTGGCCGCCAGACCCCAGCTTCTGGGTGATGGCAAACCTCTTAGACCTGTGGACAAGATGGAAACCATGGGGGGCAGTCATTTTCAACCAGAAAAGTACATCGGAATTTCGTTCTCAGGGAACAAAGGGGTTGATAAAGGTGTGAAAAGTTCCAAGTTCCAACAACAAGCCCCCAGGCCCAGCAGGGATGGCAAGGAACACAAGAGCGCACACGAAGGCACACAGGGCCACACAGTTAAGTGATCCCAGGTGAAGAAGGTGTCGGAGAGCTGGGAGGGTTGCCAGCGCTCCCAGCCCCTGCTTGCGTGACTGCGCAAGCTCACACCGCCCGAAGCATATTGTCACACCTGAAGTTGCCGCGGATCTTAAAGTCCGACTCCTTGTCTCCATCGTTCAGGTACACACTCACGGCTGGCGAGGGGGCAGCAGAGGGTTTGTGTGCACGGGGTAGCACATCGGTGCATGTTGCTTTGCAATGCATCAAGGGAGAGTGTAAAAGGGGAGAGTGCAATCCGCAGCACTCGTCCAACGAATACTCACGAGGCCCCTCTGCTCTGCAGCTGACAAGCATCCTATGTCGGCAAAACTCGCCCCAGCTGGCCGTGCAACATGGATTCCGACCACACAGCTGTTTGTGGGAAGATTGGGCACTTGAGTGCTCACATGGCGTCAAACTGTGGTGGGCCTTGACCACAGCCACCTGGGTCCCCTGAGCGAACGACGCGCCCCGGTACATGATCCTGACGCAACGCATTAGAGGGTGGACCGGGGGGAGGCAGAAAATTGGTTATGGGCCCGTTGCACAGGTCAAAAGATACATATGTTGGCCCAGCCTGAAGTTGGCCCAGCCTATACATTCACCAAACATCAGTGCAGCCCACACCTTAGCAGCCCACTGTCCCAGCAGCCCGCTAGCTCAAGCCCTGTGACTCACCACGTCGGCTTCATGCTGAGCAGCTTCTTGGCCATACCCACCACGGACTGCCCAGACGCGTCCATCAGCACACGCTTGTCACTCATGCTGAAGTTGTTCGCGCGCAGCCTAATCGTTGCAGGTGGGTTGAGCAGATGGGCCGAGTGGTTGGATGGTTGGTTGGTTGATGCGTGAGCCGCGGCAGGGCGGCGGGCGTGAAATACATGCGAAGTGAAAGCGCACAATTCCAATGCCGAGCAGCCCCACACGTAATCCATGGAGTCCCGGTCTTGTCTCAATCTCACATGAAGTGTGTGCGGCCGTGCGCATCCATGATGTGGAAGTTGTCGCTGCCATAGGAGCCCATGGTGATGGCCTCCTGCAATCACAAAGCAAAGGTGCAGCAGCAGCATCAGGAACAGCGGAATTGGTGGTTGAGTGCAGGCACAGGCCAAGCAGGGCAGGCACGGGCCGACTGCTCCGAGCAGGCGCTCGCCTGCCTCGACAGGCACGCGCAGGGACCCAGGAACGCCGCTCAGGTATGTCGACGCCCGTGCAACCGATGCTGTTGATGCCATGAGCACACTGATGATCACACAATCCGACGAGAAGGCCGAAAGAGGCAACATTTTTGCAAGATCGACTCCATCCCCCTCGCGCCCCATACGCCGTGGCGGCCAGCCCCCCACTCTCGTGCAGCTTCCGCCCACCTTCATGATGAGCTGCAGGGGTTGGGGGGAGCAGTAGCGCCCGTCAATGATGGCCACCTGCTGACCAGCACCCATGGGCGGCCGCTGCTGTGGCTTGAGCGCCGGCTGCAGCAGCTGCTGCTGCGGCTGCGGCTGCGGCATCGGCTGCAGCGGCGCCTGCGCCTGGTAGCCGCCATATGGCGGTTGCTGCTGCCCGTACTGCTGCTGCTGCAGGTAGGCCGCAGGACCATTAGCGCCGGGGTAGCCGTGAGGCGCCGCTTGCTGCTGGGCCAGACCACCACCATAGTTGGGGCCGGAGGCGGGGTACTGCTGCGCCTGCTGGGGCTGAGGCTGACCATAGTATTGCTGCGGCTGCTGAGGGCCAGCCCCGGGGTAGGGGGCCTGCTGGTGGGGCTGCTGCGGCAGGCCCGCGCCAGCATAGTATTGTTGCTGGGGCTGCATGGGCTGCGCGCCGTTCGCGCCCCATGGGTCCATGGGCGGGAGGTGCTGCATCATGCTGAAGCCTGCGGGAAGGGTGGGATCCGCACATGAGCATGGATGGCGCTCACGTGCGCCTGCGGAGCGGAGGTGCGACGCTGCGCATGCACCTGCGCTGGCGCCGAGTCCAATGCAGGGCGGTGCGAGACGCAGGCAGGACCCGGCAATGTTCTGCACGCGCCCTTGATGCTTACGGTCTCGATGAACCAAAGTATGTCTTGCGTATGTGTCGGACGTGCAGGTAATGCTTCGGAAGGTTTCTCGAGTGTTGTAAGGTCGGTGCTGCGGAAGCGTGCCTCGAACGAAGGTGGCGAGCTTGCTGATTTCGGTTTGAATATTTGGAAAAGATGAATTGAATGTCAAACATAAGACGTCTTCCCTTGTGGTGAGTAGCTGCATGGCGCAGGCCACCACCGGCCAGGTGTGCGTGGGTGCCGACCCGCTGACTGGCCCGCCGCCCCTGACGTCACAGCATGCATGCTGCATTCAAACCAGCCCGGACAGGCGATGGACACGAGGAACAAGCAGCAAGAACAATTACTCCGTTGTTTGTTACAATAGGGGGCCATCCTGCGTCGCCGAATCGTGAATACGCCGAGCGCCAGCTCCTCCCTCCAGCTCGAACCGCCGCCAGCGTCAAGCCACGCGCGTCCAACCCCCCTTCTCCTCGCTGGCCCCCCGCTCCTGCTGCAGCCCCCGCTCCCTGCTGCCGCCGCCGCCGCCGTCGGGGCTGCCGCGCGGCCGCTTGGCGTCGTGCGCATCGTCGCGCGAGCCCTGGTCGTCGCGCCCGCGGCGGGAGGCTTCGTAGTGCGCGCCATATGCAAAGTAGATACTCTCAGCTGTGGTACATTGTGTGACGCGCCGGGAGAGCGGTTGTCAGCGGCCGCTCTTGTGCGCTGGATGCACCACACGTGATGCACGTCAGCTCGATTGTGCTTGTGGGTCCCCCTGCAAGCTGGCTCAATTGTAACAAACAGCAGCAAGTGCAGTGAGTACAACCGGGGAGAAGCAACGCCTGTCATCACGGGGCTGCCGGGACTCACGTGCACCCGCATTCGCAGGATCCCGCCCGTCGCTCTCATGGCCGCCACCGCCGCCGCCGCCGCCGCGCCCCTCGCCGCTGCCGCTCTCCCGCGCGCATGGGCTCCGGTCGCGGCTCCCTAAAGAGGCGAAATGCGATGGGGGGCGCGCGGCAGCATCAAGCGGCCGCCCCCGGGTTCCACGAGGCAAACTCAAACCGAGCACAATCTCAGTGCTCCTGCAGCCCACGCACACACAGAAAGCCGCGGCCACCGTCGCCGGCCCAGCGGCGGAGCGCACCTGAACCCGCGGCCGCCGCGTCCCCGTTGGCGTGGCCCCAGTCGCCGCCGCGGCCGTGGGCGCCAGGGTGGTCTGGCCGCGGGTTGCCGTGCTCATCTAGGTCAGTCCGCTGTCCGGTCCGCTCGTCAAAATTCTGAGAAGTCAGAGAGCCACCAGACGGATGGCGCCACGGCGTAAAGGGGAAGGCGTTGTATTTAGTTTACATATCAGCAACAAAGGCGGGCGGGTCGGAACCTCTGCTGACACATCGACATGGCGCGGCAGCGCGCGCCACCCTTTGCACACGCGTGCAGGAAACTCGCCGCGGCCCCATGAGCGAGCGCCTCTCCGCTCAAAGCCAAGCCACAGGCGGCTGCTGGCCAAGAGCCAGCAGACGCACGCGCTGCGCCGTTGCCCCCTTCCCTGCGAGCCCCCTTGGCCGCGCGCGGTGCGCGCCAACAGCAGCCGGCGCAGGCCGCACCATCGCGGCGATGCGGACGCGCATGCCGTCCAGTGCTACGTCCTGCAGCTTCTCGAGCGCCGCCCGGCACTCCTCCACGGTAGCAAACTCCCCCACCCTGCGGGCGTCCAGTCGTATCACAGTCGGAGCGTTTGCCTGAGCATAAAAAACAACCCTTTGCCACCCGCTCTGCTTCCGCATCGCGGGCAGCTGGGCGGCTGAAGGCGGCGCAGCGGGTCGCAGACAAGGGCGCGTAAACGCTTTCAGGCCGCTGCCGGACGCCGCAGCGCGCCAAGCGGCTCCCCTTCACTGCCCCGCCGCATGCAACAGTATCGCAGGGGCGGGCCCCCTTGAAGCCGATGGCTGTACCAGCCTGTCTCTGGGGCGTGCGAGTCTACTCACGCAGTGCCGTCCCCTGGCGCACACGCGTAGACGCAGTCCCCAGCCGCTTTCAAGAACATTTTGATGTCCCTGAGCACACAAATGTTTGGGAGCAGAGCAAGAGAGGTTTGCGGGGGCGCACGGATATCGCGCCTGGTACACAGGACGCGGCGGCTTAAGGTCTCGATTTCCTGTGGCATCACGATTGCTGCGCGAGGCCAAGCCAGGCCGCGTGCACAACCCCGCCGGCCGCCCGCCACGCCGCCCGAGCATCCGTCGCGCCCCCAGCAGCGACCGGCCCTCAAAGCGCAAGCAGGCTCATCGCCCAGCGCGACTGCAGGCCACGACCGCCCACTCTGCGACTCACGCCCAGGTGGTGGTCGTGGCCAGGTTTGACAGCTGCACCCGATACCGGATCGCCGGCCGCCGCAGCCGCTCGAAGCCGCCGGCAGGTTCGCCGCCGCCGCCGCCGCCGCCGCCGCCGCGCTCGTGCCCCCGCCCGTAGCGGGGGTCGAAGCCGCCGCCGTTGTCGTGCGGGCCGCCGCCGCCGTAGCGGTCGTGCGGGGCGCCGCCATGGCGATCGTAGAGGACGGGCCCGCCGCTGCCATAGCGGTCAAAGCCGCTGCTACCGTGCCGGTCAAACCCACCGCCGCCGCCGCCGCGCTCCCGCTCGTAGCTGCCGCGGTCGTGCCGGTCAAAGCTGCCGCCGCTGTGGCGCCGGTCCAGCCTGTCCCGGTCAAACCCTCCGTGGTCGCGGTCGCGGTCGCGGTCAAAGCCGCCGCCGCCGCCGTGATCTCGCGGCATCGACCGCAGCACTCTCAACGGCTGCCCGTCCAAATTGATGCCGTTCAGCTGCAGGGTTTGAGCGATGCGGCGGCGGCGGCGACGGTCGGGGCAGGGCGCAGCGGCTGCCGTGCATAGTCGTGCATCCCACAGTTTGGGAACAGCCTGTGTTCCGATGCCCCACGATGGCCCGCGCAGACAGTCCGCTGGCGCCCACCGCCAGCCCTGCCTATGCCGCCACTTCCCAGCTGCGGCGAGGTCTCCACACCCCAGAACACGGCGGCCGCGCCAAGGGCCTCGGGCGGCGCGAGAGCAGCACGCCCGAGGGCGTCGAGGCGGCCGCAGCCGGCGGCGGCGCGCGCACCTTTGAAATGGCATTGTCCACTGACGCCACGTCACGAAAGTTGACGTACCCAAAGCCGCGAGGCCGCCCCGTTTCGCGGTCGACAATCACCTGTGGGGAGCAGGGGTCAACCAACAACGCGGCGCTGTGACAGCGGGCGGCCGCATGGCGGGCTGGAATGCCAGGTAATTGAGAGCCGACCGGCGGCTGGATGGGCGGCTGCGGTCGCTCTCTGCCGAGTGGGATGCCAGGGGCACGTGGCCACCGGCGCATTGGCGCCCGCGGGCATGCTGCATGCAGTCAGCTTCTTAATAGCGGCGTGCCGCACCTTGATGGATTCGACGCGTCCGACTGGTTCAAACAGCCGCCGAAGCTGATCCTCGCTTGCAAGGCTGCGGCTGCTGACCCACACGCTGCAGCTCCGGTCTACCCCTGACCGCATCTCGCCGTCCCCCGGGGTCGCGCAGAGGATGCTCCCCTGCTCCGCCCAGCGGCGCGCCTGCTGCTATGGGGTCCCTGATGGAGCGCAGCGGCGGCAACATTCGGGCAAGCTGGGTGCGGAGACAAGGGACGCGCAGCGCTTGGAAGCCCACGCCTGCGGCGACTTGGTGCGAGCGCGGTGCGGCACGCCTGGCAGCCTGTCCCTGACTAGCAGGCGTTCACAGCGACTTTTTTCCATGTGTCAGGCGTGTCACCTGCACTTAAACGCGGATCCCACGCGGGAGCCCGCGGCTGGATGGGACGCGGGTTGTAAGACGACCTCTAGCTGCAACAGCAGACTGATATTTTCAAAAGCTATCAACACTTCAGATCACGCTGCAAAACGCCAAGGACACCCTCCGCGCTCTTTCGGGCAGCGAATCGGGCCGTAAGTATGCACGACTCGGTGTGAGAAATCATGAGAGAAATCCTTTCGCCTTTGTGTTGATGGCAAACAAAACACCCCTTCGGCGCCCACAGGGACTCCAGAGAGCGCACAGCAGCCGGTCTCGAACGTTGGAATGCAGCAGCTGCGCATGGTGCGTGGCCTGTTGGAGTACACGGCAGTGCCCAGTGGCAAGCGGTTAACGTGCTGGGCCTTTGCCCGAAACATTTATGGGGCGCACTTCCTGGTGCCAAGCAAAAGGCACCAGGGTGCCTGTGCGGTGGGCAGTACCAGGGCGGTTTGCACTGCCAGCACGGAAGTGGCGCCGGCTCTCCGCCTTGTATGTATGCGCATCCATGGCTTTGTCAAGAGCCTATCTTTGCTCGATGTCAGCGGACCCTCAGCCTGCGCCTGGGTCTGCGGCACTTGCGCCTGACGCCATGCCGCTTGAAGCAAGCTTGAAGCCCGTGGCGTGCATGCTGACCGTCTCAAGTGACTTTGCGAAAGTGAATTGCTAGGCACGGGGAGGATGGACACATTTCAGACCTGGTCGTGGTCCATAAGTTTGTTTTGTGCTTACATTCAAGATTGCCTGCGGGACAGCTCACCTGATTCTAGTTCCGCAGATCAGTTATTGCGTTGCACCTACAATGGACCCTGAGGACGCGATGGACGATCCTGAGCTCGCCATGGCTATCGCTTTGTCCCTCGCCGAGGTGCGTGGGGCCTCCTAGTGGCGCGTCCCCAGCGATCTGCCTTACTCACGCACTTCGCTGTCTGCCTGGTTGGCTTAAGTGACTATCAAAACTAGCCACAACCTTCTGACATCACCGCGCTCGCCTCTGCAGGCGAGCGGGCAGCAAGTCGATGCGGGCGCAGCTGCGGCGCTCGCATCAGTGCTGAGCTCGGCAGTGGCAGGAGGTACGCGCATTGTTACGCACCAGCGCAATGGTCACTGTTTGCCTGCGTGAAGCGCCTATCTCATGTTTGTATGATGCGCTTATGCAAGCAAGAAAAACTGCATGTGACACGTGTCGGGGGTGACCCGTTCCCGCGACGCATGCAAAACCAATGGGCGCGCTCCTCGCAGGTGCCCATCAACAGCAACATCAGCCTCAGCAGGCGCCCCAGCCGCAGCCAGCGCTGCAGCAGCAGCCTCCACTGCAGCAACAGCCTCCACCACCGCAGCAGCAGCAGCAGCAGCAGCAGCAGCAGCAGCAGCAGCAGCAGCAGCAGCTCGCAGCTCAGCTTGCCCAAGCCATGGCTCAGGCCATGCAGGCGGCCGGCATGGGCGGCGGCCCTGGCGCGGGCCCGGCGCAACTGTTCGGCGGCGGGGATGGCGGAGGTGCTGGGGGCGACCAGGATATGGAGGAGAGTGGCAGCTGGGAGGACGGCGGCGACGGCGACGGATCCTGGGAGGAAGAGCTCGGCGCCGACGCGGGCCCGGCGCCGGGGCCGGCCGCGGCGCGCCCGCACGCGCCCGCGCAGCCGGCGCCTGCGTGGGCAGCCGCCCTGAGGGACGGCTGGTGGCGGCGGCGGGGGGGCGCTGGCGGCGCCAGCGGGGCAGCAGCGGCAGCAGTGGTCGCGGCCGCCCCCATTGCGGGCCTGCCAGAGGCGCTGAAGGCGCTGTCGGACGCCCTTGGCATGCCTGTCGTCAGCGGGCTGGACTCCCAGTCCGGGCCGCCGCCGGCAGGCGCGCTGATACTGCCGCTTGGCGAGGGGTGAGCCTCCTGGGGCCCTGATTTCCGGCGCGATGTGGCCTGCCGCCTGCCCAGAGAGGCTGCCTTCCAGCCTGAGCATCTGGCAGGCCTGCTTCTGCTTATACATTAATGCTCGAGCTGACGCGTCTTTTGCTGAGCGCGTTTGGCTTCCCTCCTGCCTTCGCCCCTCGCGCGCAGTTCTGGCGGCGGCGTCACGGTCAGCAGCGGCAGCATGGACATGTTGGTCAGCACATGGGCCTCTCGCAGGTGGGGTAGCATGTGCATGCTGTGCGTGCGCGCATGCGTGTGCACGTGCGCACATGCTTGCGTGGGCTCGCGGGTGCGCCCACCCACTGTGTGTATGTGTACTTGAGGGGTTGATTGCAGGATGCCTGCGCCCGCGTGGGGCCCGGGCATGCAGCCCGCATGCATTTAGCCAGCACACACTAGGGCCCCCGCTCGGGGTAGGGAAGCCGCGGCCACGCAGAACGCTATGAAACATAGGGAGCAGTTGCATGCCCACGTTTGGGGCGGCCTGGCGCTGAAATTGGGGCTGTTGGCCCTGTGTGAAAATGGGGCAGTCGACATGTGCAGGAGTCGGGCTGGGCCTCGGCTCCAGGTCAACAGCGGGCACTTGCTGACTCGGCGCGTGCGACCGACCGACTGTTTGCTGCGGGGCGCACTTGGCCCGCAGGACGGCGGCTGCGGCGGCGGCCGGCCCTGGCGGGCAGCTGCAGCTGCTGGTGCAGGCCTTCCACAGGGCCCCTGCGCCCGCAGCGCTGACGCAGGTGCGCGCCTGCGCGCCCCTCTCCCAACCATGCTTTGCCAACGCCATCTTTCCTTCTGCTTTGCAAGCTGTGGAGGCAGCCTGCGAATGAACCTTTCACAAGGCATCCTGTGCACCAGATAACGCCGCTCTGCGGCCGCCGACGTCCACTCCCTCACTTCACCCGTGGGCGCCTCTCTCATCGGCCGGCCTCCACACGACGCAGGGCGGCGCGCCGCTGGTGGAGCTGCTGCGGGGCCGCCTGGCGCACCGCGCTCTGCAGCTGCTGGTGGATGACGAGGACGACCTCTTCTATGATCAGGGGCGCTACCACTCGGCGCTGCTGGAGGCCATGGTGCGTGCGATCTCGGCTGTCGCCGCGCCCGTTTCAAACTGCGCAGTGCCTGGTGCTTGCGGGGCTTGTAGCGGAGGGGGGTCGTGACACGTCCAACACGAACAGGGAGATAGGTGGTGCAACATGTGTCAGCAGATCCGCCGCACTACGGTAGTCGTCCCGCTCTGGCGCGGCCCCCCTTGCTTTTGGACCGCTGACCGCCGCCGCTGCCTGCCATGCGTGCCGGCGCTGCAGGCGTCGGGGGCTGTACCGGAGGCCTTCCTGGCGGCGATGGCGGGGGACGTGGCGTCGGAGGTCGGCGCGCAGCGCTTCGACAAGGTGCGCCACCGCAGTGGCGATCCGCCTCCGGCCGCCCGCTGCGGCTGCGTTCCCTGCGTGTGCTGGGTCCTCAACCGCCGCGGACTGCCGCCATGCATCGGTGTGCCGCCATGCTCTGTTCGTGCCTTGATGCCACCCACCCACGCACCTGTGAGCACTGCCTCTATACCACATGGTACACCAGGGTCACGCTGGAGTTGCTAAGCCCCCCGCCCCACCCAACCATCGCCCCCAACGCACCAGGTGCTGCGAGACTCATTCGCGTCGTTTCTAAAGCTCAAGCTCGAGGAGGGCCAGGGGGGGCTGGAGGGGCCCCTCATCCGCCTGGACATGGCCACGCGCGAGGGCCTGCCGCTGCTGCAGCTCCTGGTGCGCCGCGGCGCGGGGCGCGCGTCGCTTGCGTGCCGGCAGCTTCACCTCTGCTCCTGTGGGTGGGGTGGTGTGGGGTGGGGCTGGGGGGCCGGGCAAAGTCAGTGCTGGCCTGATGGCAAAGGGCGAGGGCCGGCTGGTGATGGCGCCGCTGGCTTCTAGCAGCTATGAAGCCCTTTCCGCATATCTTTTACTCATTTTGAAGTGCAACTCGTCAACACGAACCCCTCGTCGCTGTCTCGCACCCGCGTTGCAGGCTGGCTCGATGGCGACGGAGGCGCTGGCGCTGCCGCGACACAAGACAGAGGGCGGCTGCGTGATGGGGCCCCTGCTCGGCCTCACGTCGATGCCAGACCCCACCAGGTGCGCTTATTGACAGGCAAATTCAGACGCAAATGGATGAACAGCCAAGAACGGGCTGTTCCGTGCCAGCGACTGCTATCAACCCAAGCATAATTTTTGTCCGTCTTGCAACATCGAAGCTCGTGCTTACTGCGACGCCGCTGCGCAGCGCTCTTTTCCCTATGCCTCAAGCCGGCGAACGCTCATGACACGTACAGGCGCACCGTCACACATCCCCGCCACCCCTCGACCACCCAACTCGTTCTCCCGCAGCTTGCTGAGTCAGGGCAAGGTGGTCAGCCCCGCGCGCGAGGTGTTTGCGTCTCTCAGGGGCTACCCCAACAACCAGGTGAGGCGCCCTCTTGGCGCGCCCATCATCGCCTCTGCCACCGCCCCTCCCCTGTGTCACCCGGCCTTGCTGGTTCCCTGCATGTACCCGGCCGCAGCTGTTATCTCTCTCTTTGATGCGACTGTGTCAGTCCCGCCTCCAGGCGCGAGACCAGTGACAGTGACGCGTCAGCACCATGTGACGCCTTTTCGCCCCAACCTCCATGCCTCTCGCCTCGCGTCACCGACCCGCCCCGCCAGGGTGACTCAGCGGGGGGCCGCCACCTGCTGGAGAACTACCTGTCGCGCGTCCACGACGCGGGCCACCAGGTTCTCATGCGGCTGGTCAAGGTCAAGGTGAGGGGGTGGGGGCCTGGCGGTGATTTCTTTGGTTTTGTGCGCTGCCGTGAGGGTCGTGCTCGACAGCACCGGGCCCATAAGCGGGTGGTCAAGGTGACGGGCTGGGGGCCTGGTCACTTTTGCGGCTTTGGGCGCGGGCGTGAGGGTTGTGATCAGCAGCACCAGGCCCTCATGCTGGGGGGGAGATTGTGGCCATGGGGTGGCAATCGGAGGCGGGGCGTGTAGGGGCTGTGAAGGTTTGGGTGAGGCGGGTAGTGGGGCCATACCAACGGGTGCTCGAGCATGTGGTTGGGTCCAGGTTGGCAGTTTCGGGGCCTGGAGATTTTTGGGTCAGGGGGTGTGCGCACGCCTGAGGATTGTGGGGCAGCAGCACCCCAATGCCAGACGATGTATGGGCGTCAACTTCAAGGCAATTTACAAAGTGAGGGTTTGGAGCTTGGCTGATTTGCGAAGGCCCCTGCGGCCTTCCTGGGCTGCAGGTTGGCAGGTACGGCTCACCAAGCACAAGCCTAGCGGTTGCTGATGCGTGCGGTCCAATGCGGTTTCGGACGCTATTAATCAGGAAGGTTCCGTTGGGGTCGACTGCTTCGCTGAGGCTTGCGGGGGTTGGGCTCCTTTGCACTGTCAATAGCAAGGGGAGCCAGGGCCCGCGGAGAGCTGGCCCAAGCGTCCATACAGATGGCTGGACTGCAAAGAAAGCGACGACCGGACTGCAGTCAAGCCGTCCAATGGACTCCTCAAGTGTCATTGACACTCGCCTGGCCCATTCGCATCCGATCACATTCCTATTTGGACGACTGTGAGCCCCGCGCTCCTTTCCATTCAATAACATCAATGACTGTCCAACCCCTCCCTGCACCAGGCTGAGGGCGTCCCCGCGCAGTCCGGGCGCGAGGTGGTCATGGACTGGCTGGCGGCGCTGGCGGACGCCAACAACGCGCGGACTGGCGGCGGCGAGATGGGCGCGCTGCGCTCCGTCGGACTGGGTGCGCCAGCTGGCCGACCCCACCTGGACTGTGTCCCAGTATTACTGCAGCAAATATTCCGTGCTTACCTGCGGGGCAGGATGCAGCTGTTGGCCTCCCAACATAAGAGGTGCCAGCGAGGTGACAACGTCGCCTC